AAAAACTTTTATTTGTGACAAAAACTTTGAATTGTAAATTGCGTGCTGATCGGCACGCAATTTCGTTTAAGGGATAAGAATGTAAAAAAATATCGAGATCGTAGGGCTCGGGATAAGGTAGATAAAGAAGTTAAAGAACAACTCCCTAAGGAGGTCACTGATACTACCCGTTGGAAGCAAACAGAAAGAGCCCGAAAGATATATGATCTTTTTGATGAAATTGGTATTGATAAAATACAACGAGTTAAATCTTATTCGGCATTAGCCATTTCAAAATTAAGTTGGGAAAATATCGATTATATTGTAGATAGCATTAAAGAGTAATGCAAGTACTGCGCCATAGTCACGTGACATACTGACTTGAGGTCAGCGAGTTTCATTATTAGGAAATATGAATTGTTAAAAAATTAATAAAAGGTTTCTCTACTATGATTTTCGATTCCCGCTCGATTAAACATAATTTCCCAGATCCATACCGATATCTGTCTCTTTGAGAATACGTCTAACTTCTTTGATACCAGCCTCGTCCATGTCCCCATCCTCTTTGGATATTATTGCATCGCCATAAACGAAAGAAGTCCCATTATTTTGATTGCAGAGCAATGTCACTTATGTGCCTGTTGTATGCGCTTCAAGTCTTTCATTTAATCCATGGCCCTGATCCTCTGCGATCCGCTTTTTTAAGTATATAAGTGTATACTTACCTCCAATAAATTCCCTGACCATAACTTCTTCGTGAAAATCAGAAGGAAGTTCATACATATATTTTACAGGATCTTTCTTAGAAGCGGGTAGGTAATAGTTGAGTGTCTTTTCCATATTTTCTGATTGTATATCAATGTAACATAGCGGGTATTCGATTTTACGAAATGATCAGCATTAGTTTCACAACATATAAATCATATACAAATGACCTGTCATCTGACTTCGGGTGAATTCGCTGCCACAGAAATCAATTCGCTGACAATATAAACAGGATATTCTAATACCTTACATTTTATTCAAT